TGATTACTGTAGATGGCACCTCCATCAATAAATGGCGCAGTATCTGTAAGGTGGATAGAAAGCTGGCTAGATCATTGGGCTCAACGGGTAGTGATCAACAGCTCGATGTCTAGTTGGCAGCCAGTATCAACTGGAGTGCCCCAAGGGTCGGTCCTGGGGCTGGTTTTGTTCAATCTCTTCATTAACTATCTGGAGGATGGCATGGATTGCACCCTCGGAAAGTTTGCACATGACACTAAACTGGGAGGAGTGATAGATATGCTGGAAGGTAGGGATAGGATACAGAGGGACCTAGACAAAAGACAGGATTGAGGCAAAAGAAATCTGATGAGGTTCAACAAGGACAAGTGCAGAGTCCTGCACTTAGGAAGGAAGAATCCCATGCACTGTGACAGACTAGGGACCGAGCGGCTAGGCAGCAGTTTTGCAGAAAAGGACCTAGGGGTTACAGTGGACAAGAAGCTGGATATGAGTCAACAGTGTGCCCTTGTAGCTAAGAAGGCTAACGGCATTTTGGGCTGTAAAAGTTGAAGCATTGCCAGCAGATGGAGGGCCATGATCGTTCCCCTCTATTTGGCATTGGTGAGGCCTCATCTGGAGTACTGTGTCCAGTTTTGGGCACCACACTACAAGAAGGATGTGGAAAAATTGGAAAGAGTCCAGCAGAGGGCAATAAAAATGATTAGGGGGCTGGAGCATGACTTATGAGGAGAGGCTGAGGGAACTGGGATTGTTTAGTCTGCGAAAGAGAAGAATGAGGGGGGATTTGATAGCTGCTTTCAACTACCCGAAAGGGCTTTCCAAAAAGGATGGCTCTAGGCTGTTCTCAGTGGTAGCAGATGACAGAACGAGGAGTAATGGTCTCAAGTTGCAGTGGGGGAGGTTTAGGTTGGATATTAGGAAAACCTTTTTTAGTAAGAGGGTGGTGAAGCACTGGAATGGGTTACCTAGGGAGGTGATGGAATCTTCTTCCTTAGAGGTTTTTAAGGTCAGGCTTGACAAAGCCCTGGCTGGGATGATTTAGTTGGGGATTGGTCCTGCTTTGAGCAGGGGGTTGGACTAGATGACCTCCTGATAGTCTATGATTCTATGATCAATATCTTAGTGTTAAGTCTTGTATAGTTATGTTGTTGTATTTGACCTGGGGTGGTAGGGTAGGTAGAGGTTAGCAGAAAGTTGCGTCCTGACTCTGTGTGCTGGAGTTAATGCTTGCTGTGTCCCAATACATCCCTGTGAGTCTATCAGTGAGTATTACAACTCGTAGCAGTAATTTCAAAATGGCAAAAGGACTTTTGCCTGAGAAGTAGTTTATGGTCACGCAGATGAGATTGGAATCTGTGAGTAGCTGACAGACTGAGCTGTTGCTCTCTGTGAATGAGTTGGTAGATGAGAAAGCAGTACAATACCTAGTAGTGGTTTTGGATAGTGATTCCAAAGCCTTTTACTAGCAGCTTGCCTGTGCGGATTGTGGTTCCTATAGACAGTTATGCAAGCATTTACACAACTGCTATGAGGGGGGATTGGCCTTTTTGAAATAGGAGAAAGAATGGCAAGTAGACTGTCTTCTGAGAGTGGCCAATGCTAGGTGCTTCAGAGGGAATGAACAGAACAGGTAATCATCAAGTGATCCATCCCCTGTTGCCCATTCCCAGAAGGATGGAAATGGATTTGCAATCTGTCTGAATATACATTCACAATTCACCATAAACCTAGAAAGCAAAATGTGGTTGTGGATGCTCTCAGCTAGGTAAGGAGCAGTGAGACTAAATTCACCCTGGTCTTCATCTAGCAAGAACAGTCTAAGGACCCTAAGTTATGTTCAGTGCACCAACAGATCTATCAAAGGAGACCCAGGCTGGGCAGGTCCAGCACAGTACCAGGAATGATTATCCTGTGATCTGGCTACCAAATTGCTGGTGCATGAAGGTAAAAGGATTGTCTCTTCCAGCCAGTTTACAGAAAACAGTACTAGAGTGCCTTCATGATCATGAAATGGCAGGCCATCTGGGGTATAACTGAGCAGTGTATTTTTGGCAGATTTTTTTAGACTGGGCATGGCTGCAGATGTTAAAGACTTGGTACTTTCCTGTCTTGCCTGTCCAGAAAGGAAAGCTGCAGCAAGGAGAGGCAGGACTCCCTTAGGGGAAATGCCCCAACCTACTAAGCACAGGGAGTTCACACACACTGACCACTACCAGAAACACCAGGTGGCAATTGATAGCTGCTGGTAATGTATGTGATGGCACAGTCACTGAAAGATAGAAGGAATGATACAGTTACAAATACATTAATGAAACATGTAACATAGCAGTTTGGCCCTCCAACTTTTATCTATAGTGATCAGGGGAAGGCATTTGAATCACAATTACTACAGGAGGTTTTCCAACAATGCCAGGTAACTATGTGAGGACCAGCATTGCCCACCTGCAAGTAATGGGGAAGTGGAGAGAGTAAACTGCACCATTGGTTCCATGCTTTGAGTCCAACAAAACTGGGATCCAAAGACATGTTTTCATAGAATCTCAGGGTTGGAAGGGACCTCAGGAGGTCATCTAGTTCAACCCCCTGCTCAAAGCAGGACCAATACCCAATTTTTGCCCCAGATCCCTAAATGGCCCCCTCAAAGATTGAGCTCACAACCCTGGGTTTAGCAGGCCAATGCTCAAACCACTGAGCTATCCCTCCCCCACAAACTTGTTTTGTCGTCTTTGTCTAGAAAACTAGATAGCACTCAGCTAGCTATTACTCTCCCTATGAGATTATTCTTGGACTCTGCAAACCATGCTTCCCTGTAACAATGTTCAGGCAACAGGGCCTTGCTTGTTCCTGCACCTACACGTGTGTGACGCGGCAGATTGTTATATCAGTGATCTAAGAACAGCATTCCAGAAGGTAGCAGTGGAACAGATGAGCCAGAGGTGAGCATGCCCACAAAAGATGTCAGGAAAGAGGAACATTAAATTCCCATCCCGGAAGGCGAGAAGATGTGGTTACGCAACTGGAAAAGGCAGTCTGGAAAAAATCCCAGACTTACTCCTTTTTAGAGGGGCTCGTATACAGTAATTCAGAAACTAAACAACTTATTCTTGCTGATAGAAAAAGGAAGAGGTAGCCTTGCTGCAGAGGCTGATTAAGGTTTCCTGCCCTGGGCCAAAGCAAGTGGGGAGACCCTCCCCACCCCTTCTGACTGTGGTCCCACCCCCCCATTCCACCCCTTCCACCTGTGGCCCCGCCCACAACACCATCCCTTTCTGGCCCTTCTCCCGTGGCCCCATCCTGTTCCACCCACAGTCCAGCCCCATTCCTCCGCCCTCCGCCCACTGTGGCCCTGCAACCCTTTCGCTCCTTTCTGCCATCCCGCACTGCAGCCCCAAGACTGGAGAAGCTCTGTCCTTCTGCCATGACCCCGGGGCCACAGCAGGAAGTGAGAGCTCCTGCAGTCCTGGGGCCACAGCCGGGGTCAGGGCGCTGGGGCTTCCCCTGCCACCTGGAACTTCTGAAGGGAACCAGGGTTGGGGCACTGGCAGTTCTCTTGCTCCACCCACCAGTCCAGCACTTGTGCCGGGGACCAGGGTCAGGGCACTGGAGCTTCTCCAGCCCCACCTGCCTGCCCAGTACTTCTGCCAGAGACTGGGGTTGGGACACTGGGGCTTCTCCAACCCCACTTGGCACTTCTGCCAGGGACCAGGGTTGGGGCTCTGTGATTTCCTCTGCCCTGCCCCACCCATGGCTTCTGCCAGGGCTCCAGGCTTCCACTGCCCCATGGCAGATTTCTTCTGGGAGCCCATTTTTCTGGGGCCCCCAATTGACTGGTACTTCTGGGCATGGGCCTCATGGGCCCATTGGCAGATTTGCCACTGCCTTTCTGTAGTCCACTGAAACCTGATGAACAGATTTATTGAAAGAAAAGGGAGAGTAAACACTGAGGATGCTCCTCAACTGTCCCAGAGGGATGCAGAACAGGATTTGAAGGTACCCTAGCAGATTTTTGTTCCTTAGAGTGGGAGACAAGTTTGCAGGCAGAATTGCCAGAGTATTTTCGGGACCTCAGCACACTGCAGTCTTCAATGCACAGTCTGGCCACAACAGCTATGCCTAACCTGGAGGATGTAAACCCTCCAACTTGCTAATAATCTAAATCTAACTATGAACAATAGCTCCATTGTTAAATATGGGACTTGAGCAGGCAGACTTACACCGAAGCTTGTGTGGATGGCAGACTACCTGGATTCCTAGGAGTTACTGTTTTAAATCCTTATTTTACTGGCGGGGATAAGTTGTAATGATTAGTGTAGACAGCACCTCCACCAATAGATGGTGCTATAACTTTATCTTAGTATTAAGTTGTGGTCTTGTTTGTTGTAGCTGGCCTGGTAGAGAGTTAACAGGAAGTTCAGTGCTGCTTGTGTGTGCTGAAGTTAGTACTTGCGTGGTCCAATAAATTCCTATGATTCTATAAGCAAGTATTACAATACTGTATTAAAGTGAGGTGAAGGGGTGAAGATCTTATCCCAGCTTGCCCTAGGGTTGCCAACTGTCTAATCACACAAACCCAAACACCCTCACCCTGCCCCTTCCCTGAGGCCATGCCCACTCAATCCCTCCTCCCTACATCGCTTACTATCCCCCAAGGAGGGAGCATGCCTTAGCCCCACTGCACCGCCGGACTTTCAGTGCCTGTAATCTCCCAGTTTGGCTTCAGTAGCCTCCGGGAGATTCCAGGAGACTCCCGGCAAAACCAGGAGGGTTGGCAACTCTAACTTGTCCCCTGTCAGCTCCCCCTGCCATCAAGGACATTGTGGACAAGAGGTGTGTCTGAGACCACTCCTCCTTCCACTGTTTGTTAAATAGGAGCTAAAAAAGGTAGATTGTGCCATTCCCTGAGCTGCTGCTGCTTCTCTCCTATATTGTCAGCAGGGGAAAGAACTATCTGCTGGCAATTAGAAAGTAAAGGGGAAGTTAGTGAACTATCCAGAGGGTATAAATAAATCAAGATATGATTTTCATACTTAGAAATGTTTTAATATTTAAATATTTAAAACTTTCGCTTGAGGAAAGTATTTGTGACTCTGTGCAACACAATGATATCTGTGGTTAAAAACAATTGAGTGTGCAAGGCAGAGGTCAGCATAAAATTAGTGTTCACATTAGTTCTCCTGCCTGAACAGTCAGACACTGAAATCAGTTACTGTAGGATTCACTTAGTTTCATTGTTCCCCTAGGAACCTCACATCATTGCCCCTTTATGACAATGGAACTAACTATGGATTTCATTTACATTTTTTTGGTTTGTTTTTCCTTCCCTCACTAACTAGGTCGTTTTTCCATCTCTTTGAAATATGTTCTCATGCACGATTCTTCAGGTCTCCATTCACAGAGGGCTCAGAAACTGAGATGACAAGGCCCTGATGTCCATCTTGTTCTTGACAGCAATTTCTGATGCCTTTGTAGATGGCGAGGACAGGGATGACCAAACAAGGCACTCCAGCCAAGATTACAATGATGGCATACACCCAGTCAGGATATCCAACTTTCTCTGATTTGGGGAACTGATCCTGTGAGAATAAACAATCAACTTTCAAGGACTTGTGGTGGGCAAAATATATAAGAACATTCAACTCAGGAATATAGTCCTGGAAGAGACTCTCTTTGGTTACTGAGTCCAGTCCCCTGATAATACAAGCAACCCTGTTATATCCCGTTCATAAATGTATCAAGATTCATCCTAAAACTAGTTAGGTTGTTTGCCCCTCTAACCCCATTAATAGATATAATAAACAGTAATACAGAGAAAACCCAGAACCATAACATTAATTCCTCCATAACAGTATTTTAACTCTGAAAGGATAAGGGAGTATTTGTAGTTTATGCATTAAAAGATATAAAACAAGATTTTTTAAAAATAGCTTTTATAATTTGAGTTCCACAATAATACCATTTAGCATTTAACATCTTAAAAGCACTGATGAGGTTCAACAAGGACAAGTGCAGAGTCCTGCACTTAGGAAGGAAGAATCCCATGCACTGCTACAGACTAGGGACCGAGCGGCTAGGCAGCAGTTCTGCAGAAAAGGACCTAGGGGTTACAGTGGACAAGAAGCTGGATATGAGTTGACAGTGTGCCTTTGTTGCCAAGAAGGCTAACGGCATTTTGGGCTGTATAAGTAGAGGCATTGCCAGCAGATGGAGGGCCATGATCATTCCCCTCTATTTGGCATTGGTGAGGCCTCATCTGGAGTACTGTGTCCAGTTTTCGGCACTACACTACAAGAAGGATGTGGAAAAATTGGATAGAGTCCAGCAGAGGGCAACAAAAATGATTAGGGGGCTGGAGCACATGACTTATGAGGAGAGGCTGAGGGAACTGGGATTGTTTAGTCTGCGGAAGAGAAGAATGAGGGGGGAATTGATAGCTGCTTTCAACTACCCGAAAGGGCTTTCCAAAAAGGAAGGATCTAGACTGTTCTCAGTGGTACCAGATGACAGAACAAGGCATAATGGTCTCAGGTTGCAGTGGGGGAGGTTTAGGTTGGATATTAGGAAAACCTTTTTCAGTAGGAGGGTGGTGAAGCACTGGAATGGGTTACCTAGGGAGGTGGTGGAATCTTCTTCCTTAGAGGTTTTTAAGGTCAGGCTTGACAAAGCCCTGGCTGGGATGATTTAGTTGGTGATTGGTCCTGCTTTGAGCAGGGGGTTGGACTAGATGACCTCCTGAGGTCCCTTCCAACCTTGATATTCTATGATTCTATGGTACACACATTGACTAAGTAGTCCTCACAACATCACTGTAAGATAGGTACAGTAAGTTTTTGTTTCAGATAATTAAAATGAGAAAAAGGAGAGGTTGAGTGATTTGTCCAAATTCACAGATTAAGTCATTGTGGCATAGCTGGGGCTAGACCACAGGAGTTCACTGGTGGTGTCACCTGGTCTATGCTCTAGACTACAGTGACTTCTTTGTTACTGCAAATTCTATCAACCTATTTTTTTTCTGCAGTAGATGGGGCTAGATTTTCTGAGCCTAGAGGGTTTTGTGTATGTTCTGAGTCTACCTTGTCAGGTTTCAGAAGTTTCATACCTGAGGGTGGCAGCTCTGAGAGGTGGCTCAGTTGGTTAGGAAGAAACAAGGAGCTCAGGGGTGGAGTTGAAGACCTGCCAAAGTATCTCCCCAAAAAGTGGCTTTTGTGCAAGCCTTCCCTCTTTCAGCTCCCTGACACCCCCAAATGTCTTCTGTAGCACTGCAAGCTCATGATACTAAGTATTTGTCTTAAAGCCTCAATTCCTGGATTCATGTGATTAAGTGAGAATTTCCATTTTCTTCTTTTCTTTTTTAAAAGTAAATTTCTAGCCATAGAAAAGCTTGAAAATTTGTATCAAATCCACACTGAAGGCTTAAAAATCAAAAGATAAATAAAAAGAACCCCAAACTTCCCATTTTTAAAAAATCAAAAGTTTTTGGGACTAACTCATGAATTTTGAATGATGGGGAGTTTGCAATAAAATTTTTGCCCAGACTTTCCTCTGACATCCCCTCCCAAAGTGGCTTCTCCCTTAGGAGATCACAAATAAGAGACTCTTTGGATAGGGCTCAAGGCAGACAAACCCCACCTGTGGCAGCAGAACTACTGGCTGCAATGTCATTCAGTCTTCCTATAGGGCCAGGAGGCTGTGTCCTGTCCCTGAATATTTTAGTGCTCTTTGCAGATGCAAGGAAGAGGAGGCTGTGGCCCCTCTTGGCAGAACCCTTGAAAACAAGATGGAGGGTAGCATTTGGTGCCCCTGGGGAAAGCAGGAAAAGAGGTGATGGAGCTTCCCCAGAAGTCTGCTGAGGTAAGAGGTGAGACCTGTGTCCCAGGGGCTAACTGTAGGGGTTTGGGGAGCTGGCATACACTGTGAAAGAGGGTAAAAGAGATGGAAAGACCCTGGGCATGATTCACTTAGGGCGGGGAGGGGGGTAGAGTTTCAGGGCATTATCAAGTTGTGAAAAATCTTAAGTGGGGAGTTGGACCAGTATCTTTATCCTCTTCTTGGCCTGAGGGTGGTGAGGCTTCTGACCAGGGCCAGATGGTACAGCTCAGCGGTGCAAGGCTGGGGAGCTGTGAGAAATTGGCTGAGGCCTCCCTATTGTTAGTTCATGAGTGGCTGGAAAAAGCATTCATGGAACTCAGCTGTGTGTGTCCTTGCCTGTGGCTGTCTGTGTAAGTGCAGTACCTGGAGAGGTTTGCAACTTGTCATAATATAACAGTGGGAGAGGGAGCCCAGGTTAGTAAGCCAGTTAGAAAGCTCAGCGGTACCCCAATTCCAGGTTGCACCCTGGGAAAACCAATCACAACCTCACTGCAGCTCTTATGGATTTTCATGAATATAAATGGCTTCAGAATCTGACCCACTTGTCTTTTGTTAACAGTGACAGCTCTCTACATTTCAAACTGTTATGCAATCCCTACTTTATAAATGATTAAGTTCACAGGGTCCTGCCTTGATCCTGTCTCACAGTAGGATTCTCGTTTCCTTCTCTTGAGTAAAATTACTAAGACATCATCATCTAGCAATTCCCATTCATTTGTGGCTGAATTTAGAATAGCAAGTTCATTTATCTAAGGTCTAACATTTAATTTTTTATATTCCATTTTATGCACTGTAGCAGAGTATTCATGAGAACACTGTTGAATGGGCAACATGGGGAAGATGGATGTAATTAGTACACACACAGAAAGAAGGAGGAATACATAAAAAAATTGAAGATATGTGTTTTGACCTTATGTACTTACATAATTAGGATCCCAAATGATATAGAGCAGTTCTTGGTTGACTTTCACCACAAAGTAAAAGAAGAAGATAACTATCATAATGAGAGGACTGACAACTCTCCATGTGACCTGCCAGAAAATGTTGGGTTTGTGTCCAATCATGAACTCTATATCCTTGTTAAACCTAAAAGCAAAGGTAGAAAGTTCAGGAAATTCACTCCACTGTAGTGGTTTAACAAAGCACATTCAGAGACTGTCCAATCATATGCACAAATGACAAAGTAAAATGCCCTAATTGTACTTTTCAGAACTTTCCAATGCCACAGTAAAATATAAATGGTAAAAACAAGATTTAGAAATATTTTTCTAATTCAGGCAAATATCAATATAATTATCCTATAAGTTTGAATCAAATTTCCCAAAAGCAAGCCAGGAAAAATACTCTTAAAAACATGCATTATTTCAATAATTGTGTGACTGCTTCTGATTTCACACTGCTTATAATTATCAAGAAAAGCAAAAAGATCAAAGCTATCAACTTATGGCATGGTATCTTCAAAAAGTAAGAACAGGTGTGAATTGGATGACTGAGTGTAAGTTGAGTTTCCCTCTGATGTAAAGTAAAACTTCTCAAGGTTTTTCTGTTTGCACCTCAGAACTGTTTCTTTTAAAAAGTGTAACATCATTTATTACTGAAAGGAGAGAAGGCAAATTGAAGGCATTTTTAAATGTGGCTTTTATGTATAAGGTCCACTTAGATAGTCATAGCAACTGTATTTCAGAGTGTTAAGTAGAGGACTGTGACTTTTCTTAACCAGACACATGCTACTTAATTATAGCCATTTTTGAAACTGTCCTTCAGTCCTCTTTTGTGACTGTCCAGTAGATCGCTTGGGCGTGTATCTGATTGAGCTATTGAGTTGCCTTAACCGCTGTGAATGGTGCACAGAATCAGGATCACAGATGCCCACACTCAGCTTTCCCCAGAGATGCTCCACCTCCACTCCACCCGTTCCCCCAAGGCCCCACCCTTGCTCCTCCTCTTCCTGCCCCCACTCTGCCCCCTCCTCAAAGCTCTGCCCCGTCCCGCCTCTTCCTGCCCCCATTCCACCCCCTCCCCAAACATACCCTGCCCTCATTCTTCTTCCTCCTGATCAGCAGCAGGCGGGAGGCACTAGGGGGAGGGGAGGGGCTGATCGTCAAGGCCCATGGAACAGATGATCGGTGGGGAGGCTGGTGGGTGCTGAGCACCCACTATTTTTTCTGTGGATGCTCCAGCCTCGGAGTCGGTGCCTATGATCAGGCTGAAGATAAACTATCATATATATTTTATTTTCTCCTTTTATGTGAGTGGGACAGAGCCCCAGCTGCCATTGTAAAGCTGCTAAAAACATGTGGTACCAAGGCTGGGGGCATGCCTAAATGGGAGAACAGACGCTTCCCGGGTTATGCAAAACCCGACTTATGCAAATCTGCACTTACAGAAAAAGTTCCATAAGGTAGAAATAGGAAGTGGGTTGTTTTGGGTTTTTTTGCGTGACAGTCGGGAATACATTTCGACTCATGCAAAATTCAACTTATTCAAGGCGTTCCAGAATGGAATGATTGCATAAGTCGGGAAGCATCTGTAAAGTTTTCTATTTGCAGACACTTTCCGTTTTGATGAGATATATTATTTTTTCTCTTAAAATCCACAATAATATTTGAGGCATTCTGGGACTCCTTAAGCCTCTGTGCTGAATACTTACAGCACACATTGAGTTCAATTGGATTTGTGTGGGTGATTAGCACTTCTGAAAATCCAGCTCAGTGGGTCTCAGTTTAGCAGTCAAAATCAGAAGCCACTTTTGAAAATTTTGGCCTTTACCTCTCTATGACCCAGTTTCCAAATCTGAAAAACAGGGAATAAGGGATGAAAGGACCCTGACACAAAGTTGCTGGAAGGATTGCACAGTCTGTTACCCACAAGAGTAGAAGCTTCCATATCACATTAAGCTTGTGCAGTTTGTTTTTAATATTTAGAACTGTCCAGATCGGTACAATGTCACCTAAGCACTGCACAGCAGGCACTGGCAGATTCTGAAAAACATGCAGGAATAAACCGTACACTGTTCAGAAATGGCTACTGTGTAGAAATCTTTTTTAAAAACTTAAAGATTCTACGACTGTCTTTCCCAGTTAGGAACATAGGAATTGCCACACTGGGTCAGACCTGAGGTCCATCTAGTCCAGTATCATGTCTCCAGCTGTAGCCAGCACTTTATGCCTCAGAGGATGGTGTAAGAACCCTATAGGCGGTGGATGTGGGATAAACTGCCCCAACATTAGGTCTCATCCTGATCTTTAGTAGTTAGAGATTGGCTTATGCCCTAAAGCATGACATTTTATGTCCTTTCCAAAAATTTTATCATTAACTATAATTTTGCTTATTCTTGTTACTCATGTAAATGTCCAATCCCTTTTTGAATATTGCTAAATTCTTAGCCTGAATAACTTCCTATGGAAATGAATTCCACAGTTTAATTACACATCATTTGAAAAGTATTTCCTTTAATCAGTTTTGAATTTGTCACCTTTAACTGCATCAAATGTTCCTTTGTTCATGTGTTGTGAGAAAGGAAGAATAGAAGCTCTTGATCTCACTTCTCTATAACATTCATTATTTCATATACTTTATCATGTCCCCACATGCTACTCCTAAATCCTTATCTCCTTTCTATTTTCCTCACTAGGAGTTAACTTCCACTTTTTAAAGGATGCCTTTTTGCCTCACGCTGCTTCTTTTACTTTGTTGTTTAGCCACAGTGGCACTTTTTTGGTTCTCTTATTATGTTTTTAAATTTGGGTATACATTTAAGTTAAGCCTCTACTATGGTGTCTTTAAAAAGTTTCCATGCCACTTGCAGGGATTTCAGTTTTGGCACTGTACCTTTTGATTAATGTTTCACTAACCTACTCATTTTTGTGTAGTTCCCCTTTCTGAAATTAAATGCTACAGTGCTGGGCTGCTGTGGTGTTTTTTTTATTTTAATAGCCTCTCTAATCTCCCTAAGCATTTCACAGTTACTATCACCATCCTGTTCTGGTGGTCAGTAATATATCCCTACTGTTATATTCTTATTATTAGAGCATGGAATTACTATCCATAGAGATTCTCTGGTACAGTTTGGTTCATTTAAGATTTTTACTTCATTTAATTTTACGCTTTCTTTCACATATAGTGCCACTCCCCCACCAGCACAGTATTTTGTACCCTGGTATTACTGTGTCGCATTGATTATCATCATTCCACCAAGTTTCTGTGATGCCTATTATATCAATATCCTCATTTAATATGAGACACTCTAGTTCACCCATCTTATTATTTAGACTTCTACCCCTGGTATATAAGCACTTTAAAAACTTGTCACTTTTTAGCTGTCTGAAATTACATAATGTAATTGAATGGGACTATTTTTTTTCATTTGACTCTTCCTCATCAGATCCTACCTGTATTTTATCATCTTCCAGCCTCTCCTCCTTATTAGGACATAGAGAATCTCCATGAATAGATTCTCCCCTAAGGTATATCTCTGTTCAAACTACGTGCTCCTCCGCACCTGTCGGTTTTTCCCCAGCCCATAGTTTAAAAACTGCTCTATAACCTTTTTAATTTTAAGTACCAGCAATCTGGTTCCATTTTGGTTTAGGTGGAGCCCCTCCTTCCTGTATAGGCTCCTCTTTCTCAAAATTTTCCCCAGTTCCTAATAAATCTAAACTCCTCCTCCCTACACCATCCTCTCATCCACGCATTGAGACTCTGCAGTTCTGCCTGCCTACCTGGCCCTGCGCATGGAACTGGAAGCATTTCAGAGAATGCTACCATGGAGTTTTGGACTTCAGTCTCTTACCTAGCAGCCTAAATTTGGCCTCTAGGACCTCTCTCATATCCTTCCCTATATCACTGGTACCTACATGTACCACAGCCACTAGCTCCTCCCCAGCACTACACATAAGTCTATCTAGATGTCTCAGGAGAGCCGCAAACTTTGCACCAGGCAGGCAAGATACCATGTGGTTCTCCCGGTCATTGCAAACCCACCTATCTATGTTTCTAATGATTGAATCGCCCATTGCTAATACCTGTCTCTTCCTAATAACTGGAGTTCCCTCTCCCAGAGAGGTATCCTCACTGTGAGAGGATACCACATCATCATCTGGAAGGAGGGTCCCAACTATGGGATTGTTTCCTTCTGCTACGGTTGGATGTTCTCCTTCCCTGAGACTTTCATCCTCCTCAACAGCACAGAAGCTGTCAGACACGGGGTGGGACCATTCTACTGGGTCCCAGAAAGTCTCAACTATGTACCACTCTGTCTCCTTTAGCTACTCCAGTTCAGCCACTCTGGTCTCCAAAGCCCGTACATGGTCTCTGAAGGCCAGGAGCTCCTTGCACTGAATGCACATATACACCACCTGCCCATAGCATACATGCTGCATTGGGTGCAATAAACTGGATAGCCCCACTATGTTGCTGGACTTCTGCCTGCATTATCTTTTTACTCCTGAAATTAAATCCTTTGTTGAGGTTTTGTTTTTATCAGGCGGTTTTTTTGGCTTTAAGTTTAAAGAATGAATCTAGCCCCCCTCACACGCTCCCTCTCGCAATTCCCTTGCAAAATTCCCCTGTTAGCCACTCCTGTTCACTCTCTCTAGTTCCTCACAAGTCCCCTCTGGGCATCACTCACCTAAATAACTTTGTATCATGTGCAAATGTTGCTACTTCATTATTCATTCCCTTTTCAGATAATTAATACATATATTAAACAACACTGGACCTAGTACTAAACCTCAAGGCACCTTTGCTATGAAGAAAATTGAGCATTTAATCCTTCTCTTTGTTTTCTCTCCTAGTCAATTCTTGATCCATGAAAATACTTTGCTTCAGACGCCATGACTCTTTAGCTTCTTAGTGGCTTTTGTGCTAGACCTTGTCAAAGGCCTTTTTGTAAGTCTAAAATTATGTCAACCAGTTCTCATAGATTCATAGATTCCAAACCCAGAATGGACCATTGTAGTCATCTAGTCTGACCTCCTGCATAATGCAGACCATAGAACTTCCCTGAATTCATTCCTGTTTGAACTAGAGTATATCTTTCAGAAAAATTTCCAATCTTGATTTTAAAAACTGCCAGTGATAGAGAA